ATATATATATATATATATATATATATATATATATATATATATATATATATAATTCTGATACATTGAAGCTAAGCATCACATTGATGCTGTAGCTGGTGGAGATGGTCCACCCACACAGGTGTTTTAAGCTGCCTGATTAGTGCTGTCCTTGATTGAGATCACCATCACCCTTGTACTTGCTGGGAGGGGCAGCTCACCCTGTTATCGTCCGTATTAGTAAATTGGCGACATTCTGGTAAAACCACACCTGATTAAAGGTCTAAACAGCCAGGGTAATTGGAAACACCTGTGTGGTTGTGCAAAGCTATTAATTTGCAAGGTAACAAGAAACCACACCTGTAAAAGCAATAAGGTGGTTTGATTACAAATGCACAAAGAAAAAAAAAAAGCACAATGGCCTGACTCGAGAGAAACTGTTGGCAAGATTTCAATTCAATTTCCCCCACCAGGTTTACTGCATTGAGCATGTGTGTGTAAAAAAAAAAGAATGTTGTTCTTATTGATTTAAATTTAGACTATAACCTCTTCCAAGACTCCTCGTCAAATATTTTTATAAGTACAGGAATATGAAAATGTCAATACTCAGACCTTTCACGGGACCTTCTTTGCATAAAAAAACAAGTATGAATGGAGCTAGCTCTGCTGATAGACAGACAGTTGGAGGATTTGAATAATGTCTCAATTTCTGCGCTTTATGTCAAGCTGAAGATTCACTTATTTGCTCAGTAAATAATTATTCTGTGTAAACTGGCATTAGACATGCTTATAAGCGTCCTATATTTAGAAAGTGTCTTTCCAATTCACACAGCAATAATTCATTCAATTAAACAGATTGTCTTTGACTACATGGGAGAGGAAGACCATAATACCAAATATAATCAATTGAGCATATTCATTACATTTTTAGGCTTTGCCAATCACAGCCCTCCAATATTAATTTAATTATAACTGGCATGATTATTATTTGAAAGACGTGACAAAAATACATGTACGAGTCAGAGAGTGAAGACAAAGACTTTTCCATCTGGAAAAAAAACAGCTGGGGCTCTGCAAGTGTTCCGGGAGGCTATGCTAACTAGCTTAACAGGAAAACAACTGCAGCAACACGCATTCTGCTACACACTCAAGGGCACGGGCCATTCAGATATTAGATGTAAAAAAACAAACGCAGCTGACTTACCAAATGCTGATCACTTAAACACAAACTCCATGCTCCTTTCTTTGTTGACAACGAGTCTAATCCCAAGGTTCCATATCTTTTAATTTGAACTCTCACTACTCCGACTAAACTGTTAAATTTCGTTTCACGATAGTCACGTGCTCGCCCACTGACCAATCACAGCACACTCTGCACCTCACTGCAGAGCTGCAGCTGGAGACTGAGCTGCATGTAATGCTGACGTAGTTGTAGGCCGGCTAGCGGGCTCTGACACGTCACAGAATACGCCCAACATGTCAAACTAAAGATCTGATTGGTTGAAGAATATGACAATCAACAATATCGTCCCAATTCACTTAAACTGCAAAGGGATTCACTTGTGAGTCTGCAGGCCTCAGGCCTCTGTTCTTACCTAGAGACACAGAGGTGAGATCTGATTGGATAAAAGCTCTACTTAAAACAAGCTGCACTGGAAGCAGAGCAACTGAGGAAGACAGTAGCTGTGAAATGAGAAAATAAGATAATGGGGGAAATAGTTTTTTAAATTACAATACATGTAGTGTATTTAAGAAAAATTATTAAATTATAAAATAGCTATAACTTTGTGATTCTGTTTAGGCCAGCAGAGAAGGCCTTGCAGGCCCTGACGGCCCACCACTGCTGTATATAATGCTCCAGTTGATACTAGGAAGACAGTCGTATTTTTCTTTAATGTTTGTTTCATAACAGGAGGTTAATGCTTTTTCTTTTTACTCTGCGACCTAAACTCACTGCAGACATGAAGGAGAGAATTAGCTTTGAAAAATCTGTCCATCTCACATTATAATTATGAGCAGACTCAAAGTTAATATAAAGCTTTCTGTTCTGACTTTTTTGTGTGTATGGAATTGCATTTCCCCCCCCCCCCCCCCCGCCCTTTCTTGTGTTCATTGAAGGTGGCCGTGTTAATTATGTGTAAAGAAAAGCTGTCGATGTCATTATGCACAGAGGGCTGAATGTTCACCTCTTACATAATACCCAATATCTACTGTCTTTGGGCTACAAAGCGGAGGAGGCGGAGGCAATCTGAAATGTTCAAACAACCCATGCAGCGCTGCAAGAAACCAGATGCTCACAAGCTTTTCTGCATTGTAAGACGGCGATACTGTGCGCACGGCAACTTCCTGGGAAACTGTACGAAAGGAGTTCATTTAAACTTGAGAACAGTTGTGCCACAAATTTTAAGACGTGACAATAATGCATGGAAAGTTGGAAATGTTCAAAGTGCCTGCTTTATGTTTCCTTTCCATCCCTGTCAAGCATGTAACTGATCCTTCAAATCTGAATAAAACATAATTCCTCTTTCCTAACACAACGTGGCCTTTTCTGTTGCGAGAGCCAATACTCCCCCATGCGTTTGCGTTCCTTTGGCCTGACAACCTGACACTGGGATTTCCTACAAGCAAGTGTAGTGTGTGGGCTGCTTTGGTGAGCTGAGATGTGCAGGGTCATGTGTGGATGCGTGGGTGGAGATGTACAGTATCGGGTTCTAAGTATATTCACTGGTACACACTGTGAACTAAAAGAAGTGTTGGCAGCCAAATCAACTTAACTAAGGAAGAAATTATCACTCATAATGATGCACTACTCACTGCAAATGCAAACATGTCTACATGCCTTTAAACAGCATCTCTTATAGTCCTGAAATCAGGGTTTCTCTACCTAAAACTGCTATCTGACACAAGACAAACAGCGTGATCTGTCTATGCCATCTAGTGGATTAATATGTCTGGTTCACAGAAGAAGACCAATTCCTATAAATCTGCCTAATGTTAGTTGGGCAATCATCATACCAAAGCAAAATAGCGACGTATTGTTATTTTACAAGCCTTCTGTTAATCTTGTTTGATGAATTTTTTTAGATATCAATTTTTTTCTAGTCACAAAAAAATCAATGAAAGGCTTCCCAATGTTTAAAATCTCAATCATTGTGAGAAAAAGTATATAAATGACAGCAGCTACAGACATTTAAAAGCATACAAGTTACGAAATCCGAATAAAAGAGGATTACTAGGAGGCCGTGAAGGCAACGGTTACCAAGACAACAGTACACAAAACCAAGCCCCAGCCTGAAGAGCTACTTGATGCTAAAGCTAGGCTAGTTGTTCTGCGTCGACGTTTCAGCATTATCAGGCGGTAGGTTGAATTCATTATGAACATCAAGTTAAAGTAGTGTAAAACAGTTAGCTTCATGCTAACCTGTACTGGAACTAGACTGTCAACGTTAGCTAGCTAGTTCGGCAAAGTGGACTATACTTGCAGTTAGCTTATTATTTACAGGATGCAATGTCTCTAAACATGTCTCCACACGTGATACGTTTCTAAAATGCACAGCTCATTTGAAGGAGCTTAAAGAAAATATTCATTAAAACTGTTTTTCTAAACTAATGCTGCAACATAAACCGGATGTCTTTTGTCAAAAAACAGAAACTGTTTTTTCAAAGCACAATTAGTAGGTGAACGTAGTTAGCGTCAGCAGGACGTAATGCAACTAACGTTGAGCTAAACCATCAAGATGACAGAAAACAACCTGCAGTGTTGCCTACTTCATTAACGTGGCCAGATTCAGATGGATGTTTTAATTCACCAGGGTTGCTTGGGACAAAATAACATGCAGTATATTTAGCTGTCTGGGCTCCTGACCCCCATTTCTTCCACACACTCTCTCTCTCTCTCTCTCTCTCTCTGTTCATTGTGTATGTACCATGTTGCCTTCAACTACCATACACACGTTACCCACCATACACACAGCAAATCAGGTTTGGCAGTTTCAATATACTTTGTCTAAAAACCAGTACTCATATGCGTGAATACTACTAGTACCCAGGTTTGCTGTTTGTCAGTAAAATTGTATATATAGACATAATTAAGGTTTGGGAATATGCACCCTTTAAGCACAATATAAGTTAAAATAAAGAACGGACAGTTTGTCAATCGCAAAGCTGGAGGTTGTAAACAATATAAAATGCTCTGTCTTGAAGTTGACGATCACGCAAAAAGCAGACAGGAGTTCCAAAGCTGAGGAGCCTGTGACATCACAGAGACTTGAATAGTAAATAGTTTGAAAATCGACTATCTGGGCTTGTGCTGTTTGTCCTCCACAAAAAGATGATATTAATGATTATTTATTTTTGTGACCTGCAGCCAAACCAAACGCTGAGCCAGTGTGTTGCCAGATGCCAGATGTAACCTCAGAGATGTTGTCGCCACATCCAAGTAAATATTAGTTATAATGCCATGAGTCACACATACGAAACATACGAATACAGTCAGTGATTGATTGTGTTTCCAACAGAAGGACCAGCGATCTCTTCAGGCAGCAATGTAGTTTCAGAGACTGACAGTGCTGCCAAATCACCTAAACCAGGTACAGTGGGCAGCGACAGATCGGTAAAATAGATTCTTTCCTTCTAACAAACACATTTACTTCATTATGTTGTTTGCAGACATGAGGAGGGAGACTCGACAGAGCCCATTCAAAGTGCCCGACAGTAATAGCATTTTCCAGCTGAGTGAGAATGAAAGAGGGGGCCGAAAAGAGGTTGGTGTGTGTTTGTTTTTTTAGTACATCTGTGTAAATACAAACAAGTCCTTCCACACACACTGCATGATCCTCGTGTGTGACAGTGTCTGCGAATATAAAAAAATCGAGCGCCATCTCTTAAGTCCTGCTGCCGTTCTCCCCCATGCACAGGAGATGCGCAAATTCCTGGCTTTGCCAATCGAGGGGAAGACGACCCGCTATGCTCGAATGATGGCCAGGCTGAGGAAGGAGCTGGGGGAACAAGAGGAGGAGGAGGAGATGAAGAATCTGAAACCAACCGAGAGTAGGACAGCCATCAGACAGGACCTGAAGAGGGACATGATGAAACGAGGTGAGCGGAGTGGGAGAGTAGTTGAAGTTGGCGAACTTGCTCACTGTAAATGTTAACTGTTGTCTGTCCTCCGTCCGCAGAAAACTTTACCAAAGAAAGCAAACATCACTTCAGGTCCATGGAACGGCAGAAGGCAGTGTTGGAGGTAAACGATTAAAAGAGTTGCTAAGAGGTAAAGCCGTGTCGACAATCTGGATTCAGTTTCTACTGTGACTGATGCTTTTTAAATGTTTGCTCTTTGGGGGTTAAAAACACCAATTCGGCCGTGTAATACATTTGCCCCCTTCCTCCCTCCCATAGTTAAATCTGATGGAGAAGAGGTCCGAGATTTTGGGGATGGACAAGGCCATTGTGGAAGAGGAGGAATACTTGAGACAGCTTGAAGAGTGCATTGAGCGAGACAACCTAATTTTCGAGAAGTTCCTCAGGGAGAACGAGAAGAAGTCGGTGGAGACCAGGGCATTGTAAGAGGAAGCATCAAGAGGCCACAGGTCAGGTGCACGTCGGACGTTTAGAAGGAGTCACGTTGCGAACACTCTGTCTTCTCTCTGTCGACAGTTTGGAACGCGAGGCCAAGTCCAAACAGGAGAAGAACGCTGAGATCAAGAAACTGACTGCTGAAATAGGGGCCGTTACGAGGTTGCACTCTGACAATGCTGTATTATTAACACCGTATGAGTGTGCACTTTTCCCATGTTTCAAGGAAGTGAGGGACGGCGTTATGTCGTGGGGCTTTAAATCTAGCCTTCTAATTTTTTTTTTACAGCGAACTTGCCAAGTTCCAGGAAGTCCTGACGACCTACAAGAGCTACAAGGAGATGCTGTTCGAGTTGTCTCCTCCAGAGTGGCAGGAGGCCCAGAAGACCAAGGCTGTGAAAGTCCCGTCTGATGGAGACGCTGAGGACAAGCGGGACAAGGGACCTGAGGAGTCAGCTAATAACAACGGCAAGTACAGTGAATCAACATGGAAATAAACCACGAGGACCAGGGCGGTGCTGTTCCATGTCGTGACATTGTTGTTGTTTCTTTAGTTGTAACTCTAAGGAGCGCATTGGTACAGTAAATATGGATAGTGCAAGCAGAGTGATTTGAATGATAGCATGCCCACAGATTTGGAGAGCGAGGTTTCCGATCCAGCTGGAGAGCTGCCTTCCATTAGAGAGACCAGGCTGTCCTCAGCCTGCAGGGACACACTGTGAGGAGACACCGAGACACCCGCCAACATCTCAACACTGATGGCTGCACAGCCAGTATTTCTCCTTCACGTTCACACACACTGATGTGGGGCTAACTCATGACAATGACTTCCATTAAGTGTGCCGCATAAGGCGAAAGAACCACTAATTTACATTTTAAAAAACGTAGCTTTAGAAATGTTTTTTTACATAATAAAGACCTACATCTTTGCATAGAGTGTATCATTTCCTCTTCCGGCTGTACAGTTTGTTTATTTGGTCATTCAAACATCCTTTCACAATAAATGTCTTTCTGTTGTGGCAAACTGCAGCATGCTGGTATCATTTTGAACACCTTGCAGTAAAGTCATTTGAAAGCTGCTAAAAGCATCTCCGGACACCAAACTCCTTCTTTTGTCCTTTCCAGGAGCACAACCACTAAACTCGATAGTGACAACTCAGAATATGAGGTCAGTCCCCCCCCCAACAAACAACTGAGAATCTATTTAATTTCTTTTTCAGCTTGCGTATTTAGTTTGTTTGTTTTGGCCCACGTTGTTTGTCGCCTCTGAAGGATGAGCCGGTGCTGTTCTTCACCGATCCCCAGCAGCTGCTGGATCTGGTGACAGGCCTGACGGAGAAGAACTTGTCCCTGATTCAGAACTCCTCAAGGGTGGAAGAGAAAGCGAAAAAGCTTCGGCAAAACATGAAGACAATCAGTACGAATATGTAAGCGTCAGGAGTTGAGGGGTCAAGGGGTCAAGGCTCTGGGGATGAATGATTATTGTCATTTTGCCTGTTGTGTTGCTTTGAGAGGTGTCTCACTTTTTACCTCGGACAGTATTTTAACTTGCCTTTTCTAATTACTCCCTTATCCCCAACGCTTTCCCCGCATCCATCAAATGCTGAACCATTTCCGTCTGAAGCGAAAGCACCGGCGTGGACCTAGCACTGCAGTTAAACGACATGAGCCAGGGGGTCGACGTAGAGAAGGCCAAAGGCAAAAAGCTCAAACAGATGGTTGAGTTCCATCTGTCTTTGGACACAGAAGACCAGGTCAGGAAGCAGAATGTGTTTGACTGCATTTTATTCCAAGATCTGATGGGCAACAACACCCAGCAATCGTGTGCGGCGACATTAGCGGTTCTGAGCAGCGGATATATTCCTCATTTGTCCCTCCTGTCGCTCGCAGAACGCCATGTGGGAGGCTCTGGGCGGGAAGGTATCGGAGGTCTATCGCAGCTGCGTGGATGACAGGATTACCAACCTCAGCACCTTGGAGAAGCTGGCCAGAATTGAGAACCGCATGGGGTTACTGCTGCAGGGCCTCGAGATCCTCCCCGAGGAGAACTTGGAGATGATGAAGAGGATCAAGGACGTTGAGAGGAGGAGCAGGTGTGTCTCAGTGCTTTGCGTTGCATCTTTCTTTTTCCCCCTTTAATATATTGTTTCCAAACTTGATAATAAAAATGTAATTAAAGTGTTTTTGATGACTACATCGTGTTACAGGCAGCGTGAGGAGCAACTGAGAGAGCAGAGAGAGAAGCAGAAGGACAGGATGACGAGGTACTTGGAGAGATCTCTGGCTGACTCCAAGAAAACAGTAGGTTCTTTATAATGTGGATACATTACAGCTCATAATTACAAAAAGACGAAAATAATTTGTTTCCATTTTTTTTACATTCTCTTTTAATGAATTTGAACAATAAGAGAGACTCACAGCGTATCCTGATTCAATTGCACACTTGAATTAATATGTTCTTTTCCAGAGTGGGAGAAAGCTCATGCCCAGATGCAAGCCTGATGCTCAGAAAGTCAGAGTCAGGACTGTGGACAACACCCCAGCTGAAGACGAGATGTATGCCGACCTCTTCAGCCCCGAGGACGTAGAGTAGAATCAATACATCGGCATGAAATGTTAACGCAGCAATAATATTCATGTGTTAGAGATACATTACAATAAAGCAGCGGGGTTGCGCTGGTAACCGAGTCTCTGTTTGTGTCACTGTTGAATATTAGCACTTTAAATGTTTGGATTGTTATGATCACATGTGCAGTCACTGATCAAACATGCTTTCTTACTACAAAACAGATGCCGATTCTACAAATAGTCTACAGGTCTAATTTAGTCCAATAAATACACACATCAATGATCTTACAACTTATATTGAATATACATTGAATACAAAAGCCGGTCACAATGTATCCACAGTGAGAAGAAAGCGACAGCAGGTGGTGGTGTTGAACATGGTGAGCTGCTCTGTCATCAACAGGAGAGGAAGGAGGATGAGGAAGTGGCAGGAGCAGGACTGGACTTGGAGATGTAGTTAGCTGTCGACACTGATGCACCAGCAGCTGTCGGTAGATTACTAGCTGGGCAGCTAGATACTATTACTATTTTGACAATGCGATGGGTAACTGCTGGGCATACTGTTTCGGGCTCTTCAGGAGAGAAACCAACAGAATCCAGAGAGGAGGCGGGTAAGTGAAACTTGGCACTAGCTAGGTGAGCTAACTAGCATGGAAGCATCATCTGAACCAGCGGATCCGGTTACTGCTAGCGTTAGCTCAAAGTTGGTTAGCTGATAACTGACTCCACGGCGCTCGTGTCCAGACTTATTGACCCGTGTGTTAGATAGTGATGTAACCCAGAGGCAGAGGTCAGTCAGTGGGCTACTGGTCACGTTATTGTAGGGTGCCTAGGGGGGTCCAGTGGCAACAGGACTCAAGACCCCACCCCTATTGTCAACAGGACGTGTAGTTTAGCTAGTTCTAATTAGATTACATCACTAGCATTAACGACAGGTTGAGCTCATTTACGGCTGTGTGACAATGATTCTAAACTAATAATTGGGACTTTTACTTCACGTGTCTCTGTGCAGAAATACTGAGTCTCAGGCCTTCGTGTCATTAAATGTGGGGTTAATAATTGATGTTTTCCAGTCTGACTTTACTTGGTGCTTTGTTGAGATTACAGTTGGCTTTCCCTCTTCCAGCAGCAGGCTGTGTCGCACCCTTTAATCACCTCCATATGTTTGCATATTGAAGCTGACAGATACAGCAGTAAGGTAGTTATACGGTATTATTAGCTTTTTGGAAACTTCTAATATCATTTTTGAAAACGTCTACTTTACATGTCTGACATCTGAATACATGAGTCATCTTTACTGTAGTAATGACATGTAGGTTGTGTTGCACACTCAATAAAGTGAACTGGAAAGAAGAATATTAATTATTATTTATTTTATTTGACCTAAATTTGAGGTGAGCGTCTCAGAGTTTAAATCAATCAGGGACGTAAACCAAAGGAGAGCTATCGCCCTTCATCACTGCAGACACTACTATAGTCATGTCCTAGCACATGAACACAGGTGTGTTCAATACCGTTAGTTAAGGGTCCTGGTATTGTGCATACTGGCATCACTTACTGGGGCACTTACATGGAACTGAACCATCGTTAATATTACAAGTTACACCTGTGCTTTTTGTCAGCAGCAGTTATTGCCCCATAGGATTTAATATTTATGAACCCCACTAACACACACATTCCTACATACCTCCTCACAGATTAAAATGCCATTGTATTGTATTTGTCCAATCATTTTTAGATGTCAAACACTTTGATGACTTTCAGCGTAGGCTTTTGTATTTGATGCTTATATATACATATTTTGTTATAGTGTTACACAAGCTGTGTTAATGTAACTGCCACTGCCACTTACCAAACCCACATTAATCAGCACAGATATCACAAATGTGGTCATTGCAACATGGCTGTGTACACTGGAAGGACTTCGGAATTGGATCCTGATCCGAAGCGTTCAATATGAAAGAAAGTGCTGCTTTTTTTTAAGGTTCTTTAATGCGTTTCATGGTTAAAGTTTTCGATAGAAAGGCGAATTGGACCGATTTACCTGTTGAGTCTTGAGAATATAGACAGAAAATTCATAACTGCATTCACCGTACATCACTGGCATCTGGGTTTGATGCTAAAGTTTTAGTGTCGTTTATGTTGTGTACAGTCGCAGAGGTTGATTCTTGGGACTGTTACAGATGAGAAACATAATAATTCACTGTGCAGTTTTATCTGTACATAGTCTGGCATTGTCCACGTCAATCTAAACCAGCAAAGTAGTTCAAAAGAATGACAAATATATTATAATTTTGTTGGCATAAAGTGCCAGAGCTACTGATCTAGAAGGAACACCGCTGCCGTGTTGATTTTCATGATGGTGATGGTTTATATAATGTAATAATCATACAACTCTGTCAAGTGAATCTTTTCAGATTAAATGTTTAAACCATCATCTACTTTTTCACATGTTTCAGATTATTGCGTGTTCATACTCCTAATTAATCCTACAGGTCAAAGTACTTCCGAAGCAGCACCACAGGGGAACATTATACAATAGAGGTAAGAGTCGTACGTTCACAACTATTGCTTTCTGTCATTAATGATGGCTATTCAGTATAATGTTATATGTCTGATTGTGTCTCTATTTTTTTATTTTGCAGTTTGAAAATCTGGTAGAGAGTGATGAGGTAAGTCTGATCATGTCCTGATAAGTTAGTCAGCTTTCTCTTGTGATTGATTTGCTGTTCAGGACCCAGTTACATTAAAAAAAGACTGAGTGGGTGTTTACAGGTAGATTTACAGGCTAATTAAAGCTGTATTATGCTGGTGGTCCCTGCATACATTTGACTTCCAGACTCCCGTCAGACTAGCCGTTTACTCTTAATGGTGGATAGAAAAACGACGGGCGCAGCGTCACTGTGGGAGTGACTCGATTACTGTCTGCAGAGTCCCAGACTAGTAGCACTTGAGTCAAATAGCGCAGCAGCGAAGATGCATTTGACTCTGACTGCTGTGTGGTGAAATGTCGTGTTTGTTGCATTGCAGGCTGAGAGTCCGCCGCCCTGCCCGAGGTAAGACGCCCGGTGTGAATTTTAAAAAGCAGATAATCGGTGTTCCCTGAAAACCGTTCCCTTCAAGTGTGTTTTTGTTGCTCTTTTATCAGGCCCATCAGTGAAGATGAGATCAAGCACCTCAAACAGCACCGCTACACCGCACTCACAGATCATCAGATGCTGATCGACCAGAAGCTCCAAGTGGAGGTAAAGACCCGTCTTTGATAGACCAACAGCCACCATTGTTTCATTTTATGTTTTACAACCTATTTTTGCCTTATTTTTCTTTAATTTGCTGCATTGTTTTTTCTGTTTGGTAATTTTCTGTGTTTTTGTGTTTTGTTTTATTTCTTTTTTCTTTATTTTTTGTTATTTCTGCTTCAGTTAGAGGCACAAGAGGAGAAGTTGAGGCTAGAAGAGGAGGCTAGAAATGCCGCCCAGCGCGAGGCCGCCAGGTTGGCGCGTGAACACAAAATGAAGGAGGTGAGGCGGCGCAGAGCGCTCCCTTCCGTCACTTTTGACTTATCGCTCGGCTAAAACAACTTCTCCTCTAACCCGCCGCTGGCCCTGTGCAGAGGCTTCCCAGCGTTTTCAACTCCTCGGCCTCCTGTGTCTTAAAGGGACACGGGGATATTTCCTCTGTTCTGTCTTCTTGTTGTCCTCATTAACGAGTCCTTGCTATTACAGCCTGCTAAACTGTTGTCTGTCTCAGCGCTTCATTGTCCTGACAAACATTCTTAATCATCTCGTTAGATAGAGATATCAACAGTTACATCACAGCTGCAGTGAAACAATGCCATTTTATAGCAGAGAGGGAAAAAATACATTGCATTTATTGAAGTCGGGCACTTCAGAAGATGATGTATAGTATACAGCGTGCACTAAAGTGTTAACAGACGTTAAAGTTGCCATGACCCTTATTCATAAGAACAAGCAGTGAAATGAGGAAAAAGACGAGGCCCACGCTGCAAATAGTACCATTACTGTCTCCTCATCATGAATGTGGACTATTGGAATACAATAGTATTGCAGCAAGATAAATAGCAGGGATATATCTATATCTATATCTATCTATCTATCTATCTATCTATATATATATATATATATATATATA